TTTTCAAAATGCTTCCGCGGAATAGTTGACGATGAGGTGCTGTGGATATAGGTGAAAAAAATCACGGCCATGCTCTACGAAACTATAATAACTTTGAATAAACATTTATAATAGTATAATAACTGTTGGTCGAACAAACATTGGCGGCGCATCCGCTACGGAAGAATGTAGTATTTTGTTTTTTCCTTTTACTCGTTTGTACAATAACTCTCGTTAAGCGCAGTGCGGGGCTAGTTTCGGAAAACGACAATTTTCGCGATTGTCTCGGAAGACAATCGCCACCAAACGAACTTGTTTTGTTATTTTCGCGTTTCTCGCATATACTTAATACGTATTATGTACAATAAATGTAGTCATCGGAACGAGGAAATCGTCACCGCGGCGCGTTTATATTGGTTCAATATCGTATCAGGTGTGTACACGATTAAACATCGAAATGATATACATCATTTCAAACTTTCGACGCCGAGGGACCGGTACACGCGGTTCAACTTTCATCTCCACTTGCGTCCAAAACGGGCAATTTTCCGATCGCATCACCCGGAACACCCACGCCGGTACTGCAGTAATAACAACAATAATATTATCATAATTCATGTGTACAATATACTTCGCCGGATGGTCCAATTTTCCACTCGAGCGACCGCGTAAACGTTGTTGAATTATTGTCAACTGTATGTATTATATTTGAGTATACGAATTAGAAAATAAAAACATGCACTAAACAACTCGATGACGAGTAAAAAATAAAAATAAAATAAAAAATAAAACTAGTAAATAAATAAAGCGTATACGAACCGTAATGGTAAACCGTATTGTGTGTGTACCGTGCGTATCACGAACAGAGTTCTCCCCGTCCCCGACACCATAGCCGATTCCTCGCACGCATATAAATGATATAGGAACTGTGGTTGGGTAACGTTCAAATATAATTTATATAACCGACCACAGGACGACGACGACAGTAGTGTAATAATGATATGCGCTGCAGAAGGTTCAATAATGTTATCAGGATACGCGTACCGCGCGAGTTCGTATCATTATGCTACAATTAGGCACATGGAATATTATTTTATTGTCTGTGCGCGCAAGATATTTAATAATACGTGCGTCGAGGGCGGCGAGAGATATCATTTTACCGGAGTTTTATTTTGTTTTTTTATTTTCAAATTATTCGCTCGGTGACGATGACGGTTTTCGAATGGTTTTTTTTTCACGGGACATGACTCGCTTCCGTCTATACGAATAATGTAATTTAATCGATTTATTTTACAATAAACAACGAGTACACTCTAATACACACACACACACACACACACATATATATATATATATATATATATATATATATATATAGACAGTGAACAAAAGCACGAGCAATCTAATTTTAATATAATATAATGTAAAGATCCGGGAAGTCATGTATATTTTTATCAGTCGTTTCTAACCTCGGCACAATTTCCAGCTGTTTTTTTGTCGATAATCTTATTTTATTTTAAAGAAAATAATATACTTACCATTCAAACCTAAAAGTGCAAGCATTTTAAAAAGTACATTTGCCATCCAAGTAAAAAAATATATAGAAATTATAATTCGATTTAGAGGAAATTACACACATTATTAACTTCGAGATCCTCTAAAAAATAGCTGGTCTCAATACCGTTAACAAAATTAGTAATATAATTTGGTCATCGTGTACTTTAATTGTTTAGGTTTCATTTTGTCTAATTTCTCACCAGGTAGTTCGGTTCGCGGAGTGATCAAGTCAAGGTGATATTGCGTACTCGTCAAATTACGAGAGTTAGTTGAAGTAGGTTTGTAAGGGGTTTCTGATAGTTGGACTGTATCGTTTGCACGTAGGTTGCTAAAGTGGTATTTGCGGTTTTCGGAATGTCATAGGTGAATATATTATTGTAAAATGGAGGTGAGAGGTCGCTACCTTGTAGCACTATTGGTTTAATGCTGTGGTGAGTTGACATTGAGTTGCGCCGTGTCTTTTAGTAAAAAAAAAAAAAAACCGTCTTTTAGATACGATTTGAAAATACGATAATATGGAGCGGTTTTAATTTAAACAAGAGACCATTGAACCATACTTCATATATTGCATATGGCACACAAAAGAAAGAAAATTTTTTTTTCAATTTGAATATAATTAGTCAAAATAATTTTACGGAAAAATAACCTAATCGTATATTGTTTTTTTATGAAAACAATCTACAAAAGTATCTTAAAAATAAATTTCTGGAATAATTTATTATATGTTGATATCTCAGGCTGATAAGTCCGTATGAGTTAACTAAATGTTTGGGTTAAACGGTTTAGGGTATTGTTTAGAAAACTTCTATAATGGAGGGAAGAAATGACAGTTAATAGTTAAATTATGCTCATGTTAAAATATGAATGTGTACGGATTTGCACAATAGCTATTTTATAATTTTATCTATTCGTCTGCCGTTTATTTACATTTGGCTTGTAATTTCTGCAGAAGCATTCGGGAATATAGGGATGACAGTTTTGCTTATAAATTCTAGAAGTTCATTGCTCGCGATATGCATGTCGTTGAATGTAGAAAAATGATTTCGACATTTGATTTAATTATTTCATTGCAATCATCACTGGATCGTAATTTATACTCATAATTCTAATTTTTGAAAACATCGTCCTATACATAATATCAGTATAGGTTGTTTTAGAATTCGTTTACGGAGAAACCGATTTGAGCAATAGCGTGGAAGAAATCTGCTTAATGTAAACGGTAGCTGCAGCAGTGCATTTCTTACAAGATTCAAACGATGAGAGACCGGTGGGAAATATCGTTTATACCTCTGTCACGATCATTACATCATATTTAGCTTATAAGCGTAGTTTATCAATATGTGTATTAGCTGATTAGACACTACGTGTCCCTCTAGTATTTTTTTACCCCTGCGGCCAATATCGAATATATGTAAAAAACGACAGTTTAGCCACGACGATCATCCGGTGTAACTGAACTCCGTATTGTTTTGATATAGAGATCCATACTTGTTAGTTTTATTACGTATTAAACGTTAATAATTATCTGAACCTAACTGAATTTAATTGTAATATTATGATTCTTTCCTATATTCTTCCAAGTTACGGTTAAATATATTCAAAATAACCAGAATAATTGAATCCTTGAACATTCAGGTGGTGGACCCATCGAATTATCGCCGGTCAAGGGTGGTTTTTATCGGCGTAGTACCTACTGCACGGAAACACGTATGGTGTACGACCCTGGGGTGGCGTGTTACTTCAGAACAAAAACGCAACATTTTTTCCCGTACGTTTATTACACTTTTTCTCACCAGCGCCTAGACTCGAACCCTCGAAGGCCCTGCCGTATATATCGGTGTGTTCGCGGTGCACGTCGCTGGGCCAAGGACGTGTGGACCGGCTGTGGTCTTCCGTCCGTATAAGCCGAACGCCGAGTGGGCTTCAATCACTCGCACTCCGCCGGCGAAGGAACGAGGAAACCAGAACACAATCGTTGCATTGTTAACCAACGACGACGGTGCCGGAACGTGTGGGCAGCACGTACGTCCCGAGACAATGGCACGCGTACCGGGAGAAAAATTCGCGACCGAAACGCACGCCAATACGTTCCAAGACGTGAGTACGCGTGGCGTCTCCGCGGAAGGGGAGCGTCCCACATGTCGGGTTGGTTACTCTGTCTGCCGGTTCTTCGGGTTGATTTTTGTTCAATTTTCTTTTTTTGTTCTGTTTCGATTTCTCTCCTCCCTGCCCTGCCGAGATTTTCGCGTTTCATTGTCACCGATGGCGGCGATGGCCTACTCGCAGTCGCGATCGAGACCAATTAGAACGAAAACGGTTTCAAACGGATTCCGTGATTCACGTGTGGGCGGACGAAAAACAGTCAAACCGCCGCATTACTATTGTTGTTGTAAATTCAACAATTTGAATGTCATCGTACATATGTACGCACGCACATATATACAAACGTCTCTGCGTAAACGTACGCGCGTCATACGCGTTCGGCCGTGAAATACGTTTCTAACCTTTACGTCGATTATTTCGCGTACGATCCACACACATTTCTATACATATTCATATACTTATCACGTATATGCGAACACAATATTGTTACAGTACACGTACGGAAACATACTCGGTCCGTGTTCGTTATGTGGGGTGAACGTTTGTCGTTCAACGGCTTTCTCGTCGCTGCACCTCGACGGATAATCACATATCGCATCAGCGTCATGGTCGACGATACGGATCTCGCGAATAGAATGCCGAGCGTCGATCATCGATCTGTATAGAATTAAAATTCTTCGGGCACAGATCACACGCGTGCGATGTTGTATGATAAATGTGTCGCGTAGAAACGTCTTAATGCATACGTATATGTGTATACTTACATGCGTCATCGACACAAATGTTATGTGCGGTGAAATCCGTCAAAGACTGGTAGACCGATGTCTACCATCCTGGTCGGAACAATGTTTCGCATAATGCACCGTAGTAGTGCTCTTTTGCCATTCCGTCCAATATTATATAGAATACATAACAAAGGGATGGTAATTTTCCGATCCCTTATAAATCATGAATAAAACCATGCGGGCTACTCCAATCGAGCATGCAATCAACTGTACCGTCTTTCGGCTACTATTTATAGTTCGTGTACACCGGAGCGTTATTCCGTGCACCCAGAGGTGTAAATCTAATGGAACAGAGAGGGGAGGGGGAAATCACCTGTCTTGATTTGATAGTAGGATGGGCAATTAATCTATACTCGATGTTCAATTTCCAGACACAACGATGAGACAATATATATGAATACGACTACCAATATTTATTTTATTGGTGGGTATTGAATACTTTTGTTTTGTCCCATGGTCACAACTAGTCTCTGTGCGCACATGAACCGTTTTTGCATCCATCGCACCTCTACACATCATTTAATATTAATGGGGTTGGTCCGATTCTGACGTCGTGCGTTTTCGTTTTGTTTGCAGGCGAGAAGCCGTACCGGTGCACGTGGTCAGCGTGCGAGTGGAGTTTCGCGAGGTCGGACGAGCTGACCAGACACTACCGGAAGCACACGGGTGACAAACCGTTCCGGTGCGAGGTGTGCGAACGGTGTTTCGCCCGATCCGATCACCTGGCGCTGCACAAGAAACGCCATCAGCCCAAGAACGCGGTTTCGGCGGTCGTACAGCAGCAGCAGCACCACCAACAATTGGTGGACCATCCGGCCAAGACGGCAGTCGATCATCAACAACAGAAGCAACACCTGATGATGATGAACGGCAGTGCGGCAGGCGGACCCGGGCAAAAGGTCGGCGGACCGTACATCGTGGGCGGCGTGACTTCGGCGGACGGTCAGCCGGTCCGGCAAATGGTGCCCGTCTGAGGTGTACCGCGAGTAAGATTCGGAAGGGGTGGTGTTTAAAACCTCGCGGTTTCGTTTAATATTCCGATTTTCGTTTTTCGTCCGTTTTTCGTGTTTTCCGCACGCGAATACCACGCGCCCGTGGTTGACCCGTAGGAATTCGGTCGTCGCCGCCGCCGCAGTCGCACAATGACACCTTAACGAACGACCATTGTGCGCGTCGCGAGTGAAAATAATAATAATAATAATTATATGTATAATAAGCGCGTGTGCGTGTTCACACTTGTGTACGAGAAGAAGAGTGAGAGAAAAAAAAAAAACAAAAAGAACGGATAAGTGAGACGGACAAACGACCGACCTCGCCGCCATTCGGGTCAAACCACGTAAATACGCTGCAGCACACGCACATATCGATTCTCCTAAAGCAAACATCGGATATAGTGACGGCGACAGCAGAACGTATACGCGCGTAGTAGCCCACACGTGCGCGCGCACATAAAACCGTATAATATTGTACTAATAATATACACATGTACAATAACGAAATCTATCGTTTCTCGCCTTTTACTATTATTTATTTATTCGTTTTCTATCTGTCCGTTATACATATTATTAATATCATTATTATTATTATTATTATTATTATTATTATTTTTGTATTTTAATCGTCCGCGATCTCGTGATTAATGATCCACTCGTGTCCCCCGGCCGTGTCTTGCGCGCACAATACCGGGCTGATTAACGGAATGATTGACCCGATTCCCTACGGGTCCCCCTAGAACTCCCCACTCGCTCCCCGTGCCCTCACATCCGAAACGCTCGCCCTCCATTACTATTATATGTCTAGTTTTTTTTATTATTTTTATTTTTTTTTGCGATTCTTAGCCTACATTTCTCGACGACGACACTATATATTGTCGTGAGGTCGATAGGTGTTCGCAGCTATCGGCTAAACACTTCAGTGAAAAACCTCTACTACAGCAACTGTACCCTTATGATTTGTAGTTATAGCGGTCGCGTTTCTCAAATAATTAGTAATGACAAATATTATATGCTTCATTTTTGTTTCGGACATTTCATTCTTAAGCACTCGTTCACCGAGTTATACAGAAAATAAAAAACCCAACATATCATGAATATTATCACGGCGATAAGATAGCGTCCAATGTTCCAATTTATTTTATTTTATTTTTTTTTATCGAATAACCGGTAACTCCACGTACCTATATACCACGACCAGTGACCGTCACCGATTGTTGGAAGTATATTTAAAAATAAAAAAATACTAGTAACATTAATATAGATTTAAAAGTTTAATATTTATATAAGTTTTATAAACTATTTTAATTAGAATAACGAATTTAATGTTACGTATATGTATATATATATTATATAGAATTTAGTGAAACACATTTCCTCGTATGTATGTGAACAACAACATTATATCGTGTAAGAAGTTAGTAGAGTAAAAAATGTATAATATTTTTGTTATTTTGTTAAAGTTTTTGAAAACACTACTCGTCCTATTTATTTAGAGATGCCTTTAAAAAATGTTTACGTTTTAATATTTTTTATGTCGTACTTTCTTTCTTTTGAATATTTTAAAGTTTTTTTTTTTTTTTTTGTCATATTCTTACGGTTAAATTTATATATAATATTATATAGTCGATTTATTATACATCTACCATATATATCTCGAAACCACTTAATTGTTTATACTGCACTCAGATTTTAACCACTTTATTCTTCTTATGTTAGAGGACAAACCAAAGATTGTCTCCAAGCATTGTTATGTTTTTGGTTAGGACGCCGCTGAAAAACTGTGTATTATACCTTTATATTTAAACCCGTTATAGTTTTCTGTCATTGTTGTTTTAGAGAAATATACGATTATGATAATAACACAAAAGTCCTATAATTTTTATGTCAATGGCTTTCGAGCAGAAAATCAAAATAATATTAAAGCGAACAATGTGCTTGATCTCATTAAAACAAAAATCAATTATGTAAAAACGGATTTAAAGAGGGAATATCTTATACGCGTAATTTACATTTTTTTTTCGCGTTTTTAAAGTCGATCTTTTACCATGCTTCCACAGTTTGTTTTTTAATCATATTATAAATAGTTATAAATAAATACAGTGTAATAGGTGTAATATTCAGCATTTTGCCAGTTGACCTATATAGTGGGCTACAAAAAATAACGGCATTACGTTTACAAATTGTACAAAATACGATTATAAGTCGTTTAAATTATTTGTTAGATTTAATTTTTTTTATAATCATTATTTGTTTCTTTTTTTTTTTTTTTTTTTTTTTTGTTAAGATTCTGTCATCACTCGAGGGTATTTTCTGGCCGCCCTCTATACCTATTTAAAAAACATTAAAATGTATTTTGTTCTAATTCTTATTGTTTAACCGTTTTTTTTCATTTTTTACTACCTTTATCCTGTTACGGTTGTACTTATCCGTGGTGTACGCACGCATGACCGGCGAAAATAAAGTACGTTGAACATATGTGGTCGGAACATAAACACATATGAGGTGTTGAACATTTAAAATTGCCCACGTGTGCGTGTGTGCATCGTGGACCGGTGAAGTCAAACGGTTAATGTAATTGGTCTCGATCCAAACGCGGCAACTAAACCACGCGCAGTCACCCCCAACCCTAACGGTAATAATACGTACGAACAAACGGCTTTCGGAATATTTCCACGGCGGTAAACGGTGATCGTGCACGATTCAGAGGGAGGGGAGTAAGTAGGAAGAGTTGAATGTATTTTGTGAACAGTTGATGTGCGGTACGCGGTGTATACCATAGGCGGACATTTGGTTGAAGTATTGGAGGGGCTGCAATAATTCAATGGGAAATAACCCGCAGGAGTTTCACTCCCACACCCCCTTTCCATGCACAAGTAAGACATATTACTATTAAAAATATAGATACGTTTAAACTGTATTAAAAAAAAAAAAAAAACACTAAATAACGTATATTTAAAAATAATTAATATTTTATTTTAATAAAAAATATCTATTTGTATCAGCAAAGATGTTGAAAATATCATCACTTTTTATATTTTTCGATATATCTTTTTCAATATAATATATTGATATATATTGATATATTTTTGTATATTTTATATATTATTTATATATATATTTATTTTATTTATAAATTTTTATATATTGATATATATTGATAGTATACTATATTATAGTATTGAAAGATCGCTGAACCTATCTTCAACAAACGATGTCCTTGGTCAAATTTTAATTTTTTTCATTGCTCTGAAACTTCTTTCGCAAGTAGCCGAACTAATTGGTATTGTTCATGCTATTGTAAATAGTTTTTTATTATTTCTTATTTTACGGTTTTCAAAAAAAACGAATAAATAATTAAAAAAAGACAACGAATAACATTTCTAACAAAGTTTCGATTTTGGAGGGGCTAAGCCCCCCAAGCTCTCCCCCTATGTCCGCTTATGGGGTTTACGACGGCAAGCAGTGGTGTAGCCAGGATTTTTGAATGGGAAGGGTTGAACACTTTTTTGGGAAAGTTAGGTAAGAAACGCTCTGAGAGCTAACCCATAATCCCACCCCTCGACCAGCAAATTTAAAAATGTATTTCCAGCATTTTAAAACAGTCTTAATATAACATTTATTATAATATTTTTAATACGTTGCGGTAGCATCGCCACGACGTAACACGTGTACGTTAAAACTGTAGTGATTATAAAAGGCAAGTGTTGGACTACATTCGCCGCAACGTTCGCGATAACCGCTGAAAAGATAATGATGATGAATAACGGCAGAAGTAATTATGTGTTTACCAAAGACAAACGCTGGTTGTGCGTCAAAATTTGGTTAGTACCAACATTTTGAAATATTTTCAACGCCAAATATTGGTACACCGGTTGTGTGTACATAAACACGACCCGGCTCACCCTAGTCCCTCCCCATTGACTACGGCCGGAGTGAAAACTATGCGAATTTTCACGCCCGGAGAAAATGTTAAAATCACGCCCTATCATTGACTAATAATCAAACACTCTTCTCGAGAATAACCTATTATCAGTATTTAATAATGTTAAAAATATCAAATTAGTTGTATTAATTTAAAAAAAATTGCACCCTTTAAAATTTCACGCCCTAGAATGAATCCCCGTCTTCCACCCTCTAGTTCCGCCTTTTAGCTACGGCACTGACGGCAAGCGTAAGGTTAGTGAATCGGCATCGCGAAACGCGAACGGTTCAACGCGGAACGACGCGGCCGTAAAAGCGGTGAAATCGTAGTACGCGACGTGCGGAAAGGGAGAACGATGGTTATGGACGTTCGCGCTGCGGACACGCGACACCGAAGTAAGTTTGTGCACCACTTGTCGCCGCAGAACCGTTGTGCTGTGATGACAGAATGTGGTTGTCTCGGTCAGGGGCGTACCAAAGGAGGGGTTCGGATCCGGACCCCCCCCCGTTGAAATTTCTAAATACTCAATGGTTTAATAGTAAATAGTATAATAATAGTATATAGTGTATTTTAATTTTCCATTATTTTCAATACACAGTTTATAGATTATATAATATACCTATAATGTATAAACCATAGAATAATTATTAACAGTAATTTGTTGGTATTGCATTAAACTATAATTATAATTAGAGAACAGATAAAATAAAAATTGTGGACCCCTATAAAAAATTTCTATGTATACCTGTTGTGGTTTGGGCAAAACAAATATCGTCGGACCACGAATAGAGTGGGCGGTGCACGTGCGCGACCAGAGTTTACACCGTTGAAACAATTGCACGCATGCGTTAGATTCAGAACTGTCAACGTTCATACGTTTTAAATATCAACTCGTTGTTCACCCCGTCACGAACGCAGCTTTTGGACGCGTTATTATTCGAGGCATAGTTAAATATAATGTATTCGAACGCGTTAAAAAAAAAAAAAAAATATTTCTATTACGATATATTATTATAAATGATTTTTTAAAAATGTTTATACGACTATTTTATGATACGAATAGGTAAACGGGTAATATATATTATTAAATTATAATAAATAGTATTTTAACTATAATAGTATTATATATTTATATATTAGATATTGTTGTATGATCAATATGGAGCTGAGGTACAAAAAATGAATGTGTTCTTTGGAATAAATGTAATACAAAGTATATTAAATATTTCACTTCAGCACTTTTCAATAGGTATTAACAATTGTTTTTCAAGACTAAAAGACATTTTTAGTGGTTTTTGTTTCTAAAAAAATTTAACATAAACGTGTAAAATATACCACACAACCTTTGCACAACTCACTTCAAAATACACTGCGTGTAAAAAAAAGTAAAAAATATCTGAATATGGTTTGGTCACAAATTCGCGTTCACCGCGTACACGTAGGACACGATTGCGAGCGGTGAATACGGCTAACGCGAATTCGTTCGCATCTGCCGCAAATTTGCGTTCGCCACGTTCACGTTGGACACAGCGTCATACGTATCTACATTGAGGACGCGTACAATTACGGTATGATATTTTAGCTGCGAGTGAGTATTAGGCCGAGCAATTATCATTGCTTATGTACATAAAATGCATAAGTTAATGCGTAAAAAGAAGCGTTCATCGTAGAACAGAGCTTGAGGTAAATGATGTGGAAAATTTTGATTTAGTTTAATCATCGGGGCTTGAGTTTTTTCTTTCAAAACAATAATTAAAAAAAAAAATAAATCGACAAAACAATATTATTCATACAAAAATTTCAAATGTGAAATATTAAGTTATTATTATATTATTATTAATTTGATTGGGATATTTGGAAAATATGTAACATTAAGAATTAATCTAGTAAATTACTTTAAATACTTTTTTCGATATATATTATGGTCGATCACGACTCCGTATCATTTTTTTTTTCCGGAAAATAATAAATTATTATTATTTTTTTTTAAATATTTACATATTTGTTTAACCCACGAGTACAAAAACTAGATTAATAGCAATCAAGAACGGCAATGCGTAGTAATACATTAAGTGACAATGAATAACTACGAAGAACGCAGTCGTAACTGACGGATATTCCGTATCGAAATAACGGTCTTCATCGCGACAAAAAAAATATTTAAAACACTTGTTCCGTAAAACGGTAAACTGTAAATTTACCATCATCTATCGATGTTCCAAACGGAAGGAATGAAGGGAGCGAACGAGGTCGGAAGAAACGGAAGTTTGTCGCGAGTACGATCGGAATAGGATCGGCCGATCCCGGTACGCGTACACGTGAATCGTTGCAGTTCGTATCATCAAAAAAAAAAAAAACGGCTCGGATTGCGATTCGCCGACGTGGCCGTCCGTCGCCCGCGTAATATCGCGGTCCCGCGCGCGGAACGCAACGCAGGCGTTCGCTCGTTTCGAAAAACTCCGATCGCCCCTCGAGAACGTATACCGTTCGCCGTTTGTTTCGATCCGTGTACCCAACGGTTAGTGTTGCGAAACGCGCGCGGTCGTCAAGTTCTCGCCGCGGTAGTCCCGCGTGGTTCCAAGCGTTAATCGATTTTTTGCTTTTAACGTTTGCGGACGGGTCGCGGCCGAACGATAAGCGATCGGGGGAACCTGTCAACGGAATAACGCGCGCGTTGCAAAATGTGCGCAAAGTTCTCGGCGTTACACGACCGTGTCACCATGGCCATCTTAGGCTAGGCAGGAACCAATGGGCATCTGGAGCTTAGGGGTCTTTTAGTAAACCAAAAAAAGGTCAGTAAAAACATCGAAAGCTTATTTTGTACGATGACTTTTGTGTAGCCGGAAGATATGAGAAAAATCCTTTGATATAACGGGGAAAAAAGTTGTAATTTCCATTATTCGGGGTCCCTAACCGGATAGGGGCCCTTCGCACGTGCGCCCCAAGTGCCCATAGGGTAAATATGGAACTGCGTGCGACGGAACACGGAACTTGCAGATCTACCCATTCGCCGATCGCGTCCGGAAAACATCCTTCGGCTTTCCACGTAGGTAACCGCACCGCGTTTGGTGTTGCACTGGTCACGCAACACGGTTACGTTGACGCGTTACGTCGCTACCGCCATGTTTTCGGTTTCGATATTCCTTCTAATCGTTCGTCGTGACGCGGACACCTTTGATCGATTCGTTTCGAGCTTACCGTCGGGCCGAGATTCGATCCGACGGGCTGACGGACGGAGTGACCCGCGGTCGGACGTAATCGATGTGTTTAAGAGATTCGGTATTTCATAAGACATTACCGAGCGTGGTACAATTTGAGGCACAGTCGGGTTCAGGTGACTGGCGAGCGAAGTTTTTTTTTGACATACTTGGCGAACATCGGGAGAACAGAAAACGTACAAACTAATATAGTTCGTATGACCGGCCTCGAGCGTAAAAAAA